TTTATTTATTTTTATTTATTTGACTTTATTATGACGATTTAAATTACGAAAGACACATTTAGTTTCGTCTCTATCTTCTTAACGCTTAGTGACTAAGATTCTTGCGAACAGTTAACATCTATTTAATATGTGCTTACTTCTGTCAGTCTTGCATTGTTCATCAAAACAAGCGTTAACATTGTCGGTAGTTTGCATAGAAGTTGATTTACTGTTTTAAATTTGGTATGTAACACATTTTTGTTTTTAAATGTATAATTAATTGTTGCGAATAAGTGTATTAAATTATAATTATTTTGATGGAACTTTTTATAGATGTACTTGAAAAGGGCTGCAATGACAGCCGAAACGTTGTATTTCAAATAATTATTTATAATAAATTATTGCCAGTCTGGTCAACTTTAAACATTGAGGAGTGGTTTTTTATTAATTATTACTGGCAACCTTAAGGATTATTATTTACTTTATGTTTTTGTTTTGATTAGTACATATGACATGTATGGAATGCGTTGTATATGCGTATATACAAACATAAACTCTTTACGTTTTTGTACTGTTTAGTACAACATGTATGGAATGCATTGTACATACGCATGTTTATACATATAAAAATCTTTATGTTTTTAGTTGTTTAGTACAATGAAGCATATATATTGTATATGAAATGCATTCTGTACCCGTGAAAATATGCATGTGCGTCTATATTACATACGTATATGTGTGTGTGTATACAAACAAATATACATAAATAATACATATATGTATATAATATATATCGAAGTTTACATATGTAAAATCTTTTCAAACCTACTCTTTTTCTTTCTCTCGCTCTCTATCGCTTTCTATCGCTCTCTCACGATTTCTCTCGTTTTCTATCGTCCTCTTACGCTCTCTCTCGTTTTCTTTCGTCCTCTCACGAACTCTCTCGCTCTCTCTCCCCCTCTTTCTTTCCCTCTCTCTTTCTCGCTCTACCTTGCCATCTCTTGCTCTCTCTCGCTTTCTGTCGTTCTCTTTCGTTCTTTCTTGCCTTCATTCGCTCTCTCTCACTCACTTTGGCCTTCTCTTGCCCTCTTACGCACCCCACCCCCTCTCTCACCCTCCTCTCCCTCTCTCTCTCTCTCTCCTTTTTCCTTTCTCTCTCTCTTGTTCTCCTTCGCCATCTCTCGCTCTCTCTCGTCTTCTCTCACTCTCTTTTGCCTTCTCTCGCTTTTTCTCGCTTTTTCTCACTCTGTCATTATCTCCCGGCTTTTCTCGTTCTCTTTCGCTCTCTCTCGCTCTCTCACGTTCTCTCACGCCTTCTCTCGTTTTCTCTCACTCTCTCTCGCCTTCTATCACTTTCTCTCGCTTCTCTCGTTCTCTTTCGGTTTTTCTCGCTTTTCCTTGCTCTCTCTCTCGCTCTTTCACGTTTTCTCTTGCATTTTCTCGTCTACTCTCACGCTCTCTTACGCCCTCTCTTGCCCTCTTACGCTCCCTTTCTTTCTCTCTCTCTCTCTCTCTCTCTCTCTCTCGCTCTCCTTTTTCTCCCCGTTTCTCGCCTTTTCTCGTTCTTTTTGTACTATCTCGCTCTCTTTCGCTCTCTCTTGCTACCTCTCGCAATTTCTCTCTTCCCCATTCTCTGTCTCGCCTTCTCTCGCTTTTTTCTATCCTTTTTGCTCTTTCTCATCTTCACACACGAGAGAGCAAGTAAAGGCGAGAGAGAGAGCAAGAGAGAACAAGAAAAAGCGACAGAAAGCAAAAGAGAGCGAAAGAGAGCAAGGAAAGGCGAAAGAGAGAGAGAGAGAGAGAGAGAGAGAGAGAGAGAAAGAGAGAGTGAGAGAAAGAGAGCAAGAGGACACGAGAAAGAACGAGAGAAAGCAATAGAAGACGAGAAAAAATGAGAGAAGGCGAGAGTGGATGAGAAAAAGCGAGAGAGAACGGCAGAGAGCAAGAGAGAGCGAGAGAATGCAATAGAGAGCGGGAGAGAGCGAGAGAGAGCGTGAGAGAACGAGAGAAGGCGAGAAACAGCGAGAAAAAGCGAAAGAAAGCGAAAAAAACCGAGAGAGAGCGAGAGAAAACTAGAGAGAGCGAGAGAACGCGAGAGAGAGCGGGAGAGAGCAAGAAAGAGCGAAAAAGAGCGAGAGAGGGCGAGAGAGCGACAGAGAGCGGGAGAGAACGAGAGAAGGCGAGAAACAGCAAGAGAAAGCGAGAGAGAGAGCGAAAAAAAACGAAAGAGAGAGAGAAGACGAGAGAGAGCGAGAGAGACCCAAAAGAGAGAGCGGAGAGAGAACAAGAAGGAGCAAGAGGGAGCAAGAGAGAGCGAGAGATAGCAGGAGAGAGCAAGAGGGAGCGAGAGAGAGCGGGAGAGAGCGAGAGAGAGCGATAGAGAGCGAAAGAAAGCGGGAGAGAGCGAGAGAGAGCGGGAGAGAACAAAAGAAGGCGAGAAACAGCGAGAGAAAGCGAGAAAGAGCGAAAAAAATCGAAAAAGAGCGAGAGAAGACGAGAGAGAGCAAGAGAACGCGAGAGAGAGAGCGGGAGAGAGCGAGAGAACGCGAGAGAGAGCGGGATTGATTGATTGATGAGCTTTTATTTAGCTTTCTCAGCTATTTTCTTATACAGTTTAACATTTACATATGTAAGATATGCGCTTTTAATCTTCTTTTAAATAATTCGAGCCTATCGCAAGTTTTAATTTCTACTGGCAGGACGTTATAGAATATACTTCCTTCATAAAACAAACTTTTCTGTGCACTCCTTGTTTTTCGAAATTGAATTTCGATATTACCCGCTTGTCTTGTTTCCCTATCGCATTCGTTCCCTACTATTTGTAACTTATCTCCTATTACCATGCATTCTCCCTTTATTATAAACTCTTCTACTATATCCTCGAAAAATCTCAAGAAATCTCCGTGCGATGCGCTCGGTGAGTGATATATTACCATTATCACTCCTTTATATAATTTATCTTTTACTTCTACCGCAACACACCAACAATTCGATTCTAATTTTTTTTTCCTCTAATACTATCTCATATTTAATATTGCTTCTAACGTATAAAATAACTCCTCCCGTATTCCTATTCTCAGCATTACACCTAACTATACTATAACCCGGAACGTTCACTTCACTGTCTTCGATATCCTCAGTCACTCTGGTCTCCGATAATGCTAAGAACGCAGGATTTATTTTCTTCATGATCTGATGTTGTATCTCATCTCTGTGCGCAATTAAACTTTGCGCATTTGTATATAGTATTATCTCCGCTTCTTCCTGTGGTTGCTATTTAGCGTCCTCCCAGCCTGCTCTCCTCTTCTCCTCCCGTAGCGCCCTCTTAAAGGTCGGACATTCCGGACTAAGGGCGTCATGGTCATCGCTTATATTCAGATTGTATGTTCGATTTTTGAACATACAATTCACACATTTCTTCTTTGTCGCTGTACAATCACGCGAGTTATGACTTCCTGCACATTTATAGCATGCTTCCTCTCGCATACAATTTTTTGCAATATGATAATATCCCCAGCATTTGAAACATCTTTTAACATTGATGTGATTAAATACAGGACACTTCTTCCATCCTACACTTAGCTTTCCTTTCTTCAATATCAGCTCATGTGTCTCTTCATCTGCTTCTATTATTATTGACCCTTCTTCATTTCCTTTTCTTTCAGATTGATTATTTCTCCTTTCTTTGATCACTCTTCACAATTCGCATATTTGCTGTATCTATTTTATTCTGCATCTTTATCGTATTTATAAGTTCATTATCATCTAATTTCATCTCTTCTACACCTATATTAATAATTTTTATCTTTGGTTTTGATTGAGGCGACTCTATCACTTTATAATTTTCTCCCAGCTTAGCTTGAACTGTCTCCTTCAATTTTTTCACCTCCTCGCCGGTTTCACAACCCTTGATCACTGTTCCCTTGCTATCTTTCCTTAATTTCGTTATTCCCATAGCCATACTCTTAATATCCACCTTTTCTTTTATCAATTTTTTAGTGGCTTCACTCTCTTGTTGCATTTTCGGCTTAACAATTATAACGTTTTCTTTCTTCTTCCCTTTAACCGCTTCACTGTAGCTTATCTGCGATCCTTCCTTTGATACACAGAGAAGACGAGAGAGAGCGAGAGAACGCGAGAGAGAGATCGGGAGAGCACGAGAGAACGCGAGAGAAAGCGGGAGAGAGCGAGAGAACGCGAGAGAGCGGGAGAGAGCAAGAGGGAACGAGAGAGAGCGAGAGAGAGCGAGAGAGAGCGATAGGGAGCGATAGAAAGCGGGAGAGAGTGAGAGGGAGCGAGAATTTATTTTTCGTTTGGTTGCTAAAAAGGTTAAGCAACTGAGGAAAATGTCACTATACTAGGATGGGTGACCGCGGATAAGGTAAAGCAGCTTCGGACAAAATCACTTTGTCGGGATAAGTGATCGGAACAAGTACGACGCCGTATCTTAAAAAAAGTGACACTTTTTCGACCAAAAAATAACTTGAAAAATTCATATCTCCGCAACCAATAGAGCTATCAAGTTCGTTAAGGTCTCATTTTACTTGGAAAAAATCGCGCTTTCGATTGATATGGTCATCTTTTGAAAAATATGTTTCCGTTCATGAAATATTTCAAATTTTTGTTTTCAAGGTTACGAAAATCGTGTTACGTCCGGTAAAGGATACACAGTAGCGTACTACGGATAATTTTCGCTATTGTTTCGATATTTTCGCTATCTTTTCGATATCTTTCGATATTTTTTTTTGTTTTTTTGTAGATTGTATTTTAATTTGACGAATGAAAGATATAACTTAGCGAGACGCTACCGCGTCTCCTGATAATAATGAACACTTTGTTTTATTATATAATTGCCATTATAATATTATTTATACTTACAAAGATATTGAAATTAATGAAAGTGCCCAATTGGATAAACCAATATCCACACACCGCTGTCCATGCCAGGTATCATTAACGAATAAATTATATTTTGCCATGGTAAATTTATCCGTCTGCCAGTGCAACATCTTTTGATGCAGCGTATTAATGCGGATAGTATAAACTTTATAGTCAAATGGCAAACTACTACTCCAAGTGAAAAATTAAATCCCTAAAAATATTATAACAATTATTAATAAACTTATATGTTTTCTTAAATATGTAGAAAGAATTTATTTTTATAAAGCAATATTTTTTATAATAATTAAATAATTTTAAGTTGTATATAACTAAATAATAATAAATAAAAGCAAGTTATTAATTAGTTGTACATGTAATTACTCACATACGTATTATACAGCCATGGATTATAAAATGTAAGGCCTATTGATAAAATAAAGTAAGCAGAGATCAATAAACACACTTGGTATGCTTTCCTCCAAAATGTGGCTTCTGGCTTTATTACATTTTGGAAATCTGAAACATTTTGCGGCAAATATTCTGATGTTTCTACATCATCTCTAGCAATTTGATATTTTATGTGCGAACGTGTCATATGAAAAAAAATTATAAAAATTATGTATTTATAAAAAACATACCGTTTTATGAAACTTTATGCATAAAATATCATTAATAAATCATATTGCAGTGTTCAGGATGGAACAAATAATTTGTCAATATTATGTCCGTTATTTTTATATCAAGTCATGTCCGATATTGTATCTTCTTCGCTGATGACTTGTTTTGTATTTTCTTCGTTTATTACTTGTTTGTGTCACCGTTTCAAAAGACAGGTCCTTCTATTGTATTCTCCCTTCTCAATATTGAGGTAATCGTCAGCGCTCGTTCGAACGACGAGTCAGTCTTTTTCGAGAATCGAAGCGAATCTGACCGTAATAATCATCGATAAGAGTTAATCGAAATAATTGAAATACGCGATCGACGAAACGTGATCTACTTGTGCGGTTTTGCTTATAGCGCGTAATTCAAAGTGTAACAAACCCACAGTTGCAAATGTCGTCATATTTTCCTAATCGATATTAAAATTAAAGATTAGGACTCAGTGCTAAATAAATTAGTAATCTAACGACAAACAAAAGGAAAATTACGTTTCTGAATGTTCCTTTCTTTCTCCCGATTTCCTGTCCATTTCTGTAGCGATTGTCGTGTTCCTCTCTCTTCCTCTCTCGGGCCCGCTCAGATCCCGATTCTGATCGTCTTCGATCTTTCTCTCTCGCTCTCACGTTCGCTTCCTAGTTTGTGTTTTTTCTTCTTTCCGCTTCCTATGTCCTTCGCTCCTTCGAGCGATATCAGCTGATTTCGTTCGTAGCCGAACTCTGTGCTCTCGGTTCGCGAACATAATTTTGCAGGAATTGATAAATATATAAATTGTATAATATAACAAAATTAATTACATCGTCCATACGTCATTCACATCACGTTATTCTGAAAAACAAAAATGAAGAAATTAAAATATTATAATCAAGAGATTATAATCGGCAATAAAGACGAAATATCGGAAATTTTTAATCGCTCACCTTGACTTTAGCGTAAGATAATGCAGTTCGACGAGACATATAACCTGGAAACAAGTGCGATAGTGACAACTGTCACTAAAATCGCCGTCTGTTGTAAAACGTGAGAACTGGACATTTCCAATACTATGCATCTATTGCATGTGTTGTGTACGTGTGATATATGTGTGCGCATGTGTTGTATACGTGTGAATACGTGTAGCACGATACTACTATGTATGCGTGGTCGATGATGATAATAATAATGATGACGGGGACGTTTCTTAAAAGAAATTTTTCAGATTTCGACTTTGCATTTATATATCTCTGCTTACAAATCACGTAGAGCAGAAATAAAGACACTTTTATTATATAATTCGAACTCAATCTATCGATTAAGTCTAGTATAAACTCGATTGCTTCAGCCGTTATTGAGGATTAGAAATTTATAATAGACTCAAATGTCCGACTCGCGTTAAGATACACGGTGTCTCGGCTACGCCCTTAACTGGTCGCGAGACACTACCGTGTCTTTTGATCATGAAGAAACACTCTTATCTTGTTTTACATGATTCAAAATATTAAATATATCTTTCAGTATAATTATATTGTAAATACTATAATATAACAATTAATCTTAATCTTTTTATATAGTAGATAGCAACAAAGCAACAGATTACATTGATACAAATGGTACTAATAACCATACAAACAAAATTGATTTAGAAAAGAAAAACTACAATAATCATTCAAAAAGTATTTTAATATCTTCTGGTATGTACATACATTTTAAAATTATAAAGTATTCCTATTACTATGGCTCTATTGTATCCGTATAATTATCTATTTCTACATATTTCAGTATCAGATTGCAATGTAAGAAAGCATATGGATCGAAATAGAAACAATGATGAGACTGATACATCAAAGAAAGATTGTGATTATAAACAAATAACCCAAACGAAAAATTGTATTTATTGAGGAAAAACTAATGTTTCTTCTGGTATGTATATTAGGAGACGCGGTAGTGTCTCCGGCCATGTTCAAACCCTAAAAGACCTTAAAAGACACTACAAGTCTTCTTATCCTGCATCATCAAAGTCCATTTCTTGGGGGTGTAGAACTACTAAAATATAAAAAATTTTGAATTGCAGGTAATATAACCTGAAAGGCGGCATCGCCACGAGTAATTTGAGCCAAGAAGGAATAAAATCGGTCAAGCCGTTCTGGAGATACAAGCGGTCAAAAAGTGACGTTTTTCATGAAAAATGAAGTAACGTCGTCTTCTTCTTCTTCTTCTTCTCTGTCCGCGTCCGCTGACGTCATCAGGATTATATATATCCTAAAAAAATCATAAAAATGAAAAGGTCAGGCCATGTTCAAAAGAAGGTACTCAAAAATTTAAACGATCTAATAATAAATTATCACGAAAAGTAACTGATATGTTATTCAAGGTGCCAGTTCAAAGTGAACATACGTAAAGTGTATATTATCTAAATTTAGTAATAATATATTACCATGAAAAGTAACTGTGATATTTTATTCAAGGTGCAAGTTCACATTGAATATACATACATATAAGTAAAACTGATTACAATTTGATTCTAGAAAATAAGTGCGATATGTTATTCTTAGTGCACAAAATATAATAGTCGTTTATAGAGATTTGATTTGAAATTCATACTAGCCCGTACAATGAAAAATAATTGCTCGTAATTCCAGAGTACCAATTTGTTAATGACTCAGAAAAATAACATGGCGGCCTGCTCTCAAAAAACTATGATGTTTCTCGATGTCCATTTAGAAATAATGTCAAAGCTCTTACAGAATAATTACTACAACATTTGAAATACGAAAAGTATTACATTAGAAGAAGATTAGATTAGAATAAGGATTCAACGTATTTTTAAAAGCTCTGCACACACAACAAAGTGAATATACAAAACTATATACAAATACCTTTTTCTTCTGTGTTTCTGAAGAAAATTGTAAGTCAAATGAAACCTTGCACTTTGAGAACCATGTCACTTACTTTTCAGAGTCAAATTGATAAATTTTTTTTGTATATTTTAATGATATTTATTTCTCACTTGTATCTTGAATAATTAATATGTAATTTTTTATTGTATATTACGACAAATAATCAGTAAACTTTTTAAGCGTATAGCTTTATTGTAGTTGACCTGAGAACTGTACATTTATAAATTTTACTTAATATACACCCGTTTCGAGCAACAAGGCAAAGTTTTCTGATCAATAACTTACTCCCTGAAAATACGGTATAACACAAATCGGAAGTTGATACGAAAATTTGAAATTTTACTAAAGAAAGATTGGAGGTTTTTAATTTATACAATTTTCACAACTCTTATTTCAATTATTTATTCTACCCATCGAAAGTTTTTTGAGAGCAGGCCGCCATGTTATTTTTCTGAGTCATTAACAAATTGGTACTCTGGAATTACGAGCAATTATTTTTCATTGTACGGGCTAGTATGAATTTCAAATCAAATCTCTATAAACGACTATTATATTTTGTGCACTAAGAATAACATATCGCACTTATTTTCTAGAATCAAATTGTAATCAGTTTTACTTATATGTATGTATATTCAATGTGAACTTGCACCTTGAATAAAATATCACAGTTACTTTTCATGGTAATATATTATTACTAAATTTAGATAATATACACTTTACGTATGTTCACTTTGAACTGGCACCTTGAATAACATATCAGTTACTTTTCGTGATAATTTATTATTAGATCGTTTAAATTTTTGAGTACCTTCTTTTGAACATGGCCTGACCTTTTCATTTTTATGATTTTTTTAGGATATCACTTACTTTTTAAAGTACAGATATATAGAGCAGCTTTCTAGTAATTCAAGTATCACAAATATATGTATTTTCGATTCTTATCACATAACTTTGTATAAGTAACAATTTATGCAATACAGTTCAAAATAATTGAAATATATGGTATATATGTACATATATAAAATATATAATTATATTATAGTATACATATATATTTTATTTAATCATATATGTAAATGTTTGTATAATTGTAATAACTTTTAACGATACATTGCACATTTATTTCAATTGCAACAGAATGAATTTATATTCTTGTATGAATATTGAAAATAAAGAATGGGCCCCTCCATCGCCCATTCTCGTGAGAACGCAACCATATATTTTTCTTCGTCTCTCCGATTTTAACACGACATACATATTTCTGTCTGATAATTTTTTTCTTGATGATACTTTTTGAAATGTCATGAAGCCTAGGTCAAATTAGAAACTTATTGCACTCGTTTTAATGCAGCGCTTACAGCAGTTTTTATAAAGCGCCAGAGCAGCCGATATTTTATTTTGGCGCTTACGGCAACTTTTATACAGCGCTAGAACAGTTGATGTTTTAATGTAGCGTTTACGGCAGCCTTTATACAGCGCCATTATTTAATCTGTTCTAAGAACAATATGTATGCCCCTTGTGCTCCTTTGGGCCATTTTTTCTTGAACACTTCCATATCATTAGAGTAATACAACATACACGTGTAGTGACCACGATTCATTTCTTCACCTTCGTGAAATATAGCGCTTATTACCTTGTACTTTTTTTTATTAATCGTGATATTACTCGTCGGCACGGCGTTAATCCGATTGTTGATAATTTTTTTAGAAGCACCGTTTACAAAAGTATATAAATTGAGCTGTATTACTACGACGGATAAAGTTGATTCGATTACGGTTTTCTTTTTCAACACGGTGCCCTTACATTCGTTACAATTGCCGTTTATCGTTTCCCATTTAGAAAATTCTACATTAATCAAACTTTGTAGAGTGACACCTTTTTTCCTTTTTAATGTCGAATGTATAGGTAATATTAACAAACTACTGCTTTCCAGCTTAGTTACATTGTAATTACATTTGACATTCGAGCAACATGTTACGTGCTTTAATTCGAGTTTTAATACATCATTGATGTCGGAATACGTCGACATTAGAGCCGTAAAAAATTCCGAAACATCTTGTTGTGTTCGTTCTTCGAAGCGTTTTCCGACAGATCTTCTAACCGCTTGAATGTTGCAATATTTACGTTCACCATACGCGCAGATAGCATCAATCAATGCATTCGATGCTTTATTTTTCAGTATTTGTTGCCTAATACGTACGCAATGAAACGCACATTGTAATATTACATTAGCGTAACACGAAACAGCATCGTTATTGCAAAGGCCATATATTTTCCACGTAACTATACTTTCTGGTTCCTCACAATCATAATTCTGCATATCATCAATGATATTAGGGATATCCCATCGACGATCGTACATTTTCACAACCTTTTTCTCGGACGGATTGATTTGTGGCAGTTCAGATTTGAATATAGATCTCAGTCGATTATATTCTACAATGGCTCTCGAGTTTGCTTTAACTGATGCTGGATTGAAATTTATCAAATGTAGGCCTTCCAATTTACTTACTCGTGACAAACCTACATAGGCTTGACCATCACTGAATACAGTCGTTCCTAAATCCATCATTGCATTGTTACATGTAATTCCTTCGATTATAAATAATTCGACATTCTTTAATTTGTCTCTCAAAGTTTTCAAGACCATGTCTGACAATTGCGTATATTTTGGTGTAGATTCATGACTAACGGGTAGTTGAAACATTCTATGGATTGTCAAGCCATCGATATTGAATGCTGCGATACCCGTGGGAGCAGATATGGCAGTCGTTTTTTCCAAATTTATTCTGATCCAATGTTTAATCGTTTCAATTAGAAAACTTTTCCCTGTACCACCCTCGCCACTTACGTACAGTCGCAGAATCTGATTCTTATCTTGTAAAACTTGGCATACTCCATCAAAGACTCTTTTCTGGTCTTCGTTCAATTGCGACATCATTTGCGATAAATCAATCGGGTCGTCAATCTTACCAAAATCTTCCAGATCTTTCATCGCGTCGTCAGCTTCTATCGGATTACAATCCAGTTCATCGTCATCGGATTTGTCTCTGTCTGCTGTTTTCAGATCATTTTCGCGCTTCTCGATTAATTCAGCAACGTTCTCAAAAGCTTTCTGTATTTCTTCGAGCCTTTCGTGATATTT